AAGTGTACAAGTTAATCCTTCTTCTGTATTAGCATATTATGGTGAAACTGTTGTCCTTAATTGTACCAGTAGAGGTGGACCTAACAATCAGTATACATGGGATATAGAAAGTGGTGCTATTGTTATTGGCCGATCTGATCAACTTACATTGGAATTGAATAATCTTCGTCTTTTTAGTTACTATCAATGTCGAGTCAGCAATGATGCTGGTTCTGATCGTGTGTCCAATATAGAAGTTAGAGGTAAGACAGCAATAATAAAGGTAAAGTATAATATTATTTAAAATAGGTTTATTGTCAGTCAGTATTGAACCATCTAACACATCAGTTATTTCATTTGGTGAATCTTTAACATTATCTTGTGTTGTTAATCACAATATCAGTGATACTAGCCTTCTTAGATATGAGTGGCCATTGAGTAATACAGCTAGGCCTGTTGGTAATAATCCATTTATCACATTGAACTACAGTGACTATTCATTGGTTAATCAAGGTGGATTGTATAGGTGTTCGGCATATTATTATGGTTATCAATTATATGCCCATTATTTCACTGATGTTCGGGGATATTCAAATCGAGTCTCTGTTTTATTTTCTCCATCCTTTTCTGAGCAACCAGAATTTATGATATCAAAAGTTAATGATTCAATAGAATTATCTTGTACTGCATTTGGTTATCCAGTTCCTGTAATTGAATGGAAACGAGTAAATTTATTAAATACAAGTGACTATATTAATAACATTATTGAACTACCCGAGAATGCTTATAATGAAACTGTTGCTGGTACCAATAACATCACATCAACTCTTATCATTGATGACATACAATATGAGGACTTTGGCTATTACTTGTGTGTAGCTACAATGTCTTCATCAGAATTATCTGAAGATGTACAAGCCTTGTCTTCCATATCTACAGTTACAGGTACATAAATGCAATTCAATTTTAACTTTCAGTTTTTATATTTTGTAGTGTCTCCTGAAGGAAGTGTTAATATATCTTCCAATGGAACAGATACTAAGATAGGAGATACAGTTAGATTAGTCTGCAGTAGTAGAGGTGGCCCTAATAATCAGTATAGTTGGACTCATTATTCCTCAAATGAAGTTATTGGAGATAAACCAGAATTAATATTAGCAATAGATTCAGTTGATCAGTTTGGAGAATACAAGTGTTCAGTATCAAATGAAGCTGGCACTGATAACAGTACTTCAATTGTTAATGGTATGATTACTGAAACTGATTTTAATTGATTGCTTTCTTTCAAATAGGTATCTTATCAGTTAATCTAATACCAGCCAGTGATGTTGTGTTCCTTGAATATGGAGACAGCTACAATCTCACTTGTGCTAGCTTGTCAGTGAGTAGTTTAAGTGTACAAATCTCTTGGTACAAGGATGATGAGTTAATTAATAACACTGAGACACAAGTTCTTACTCTTAATTATACAAGTCCTGAATCAGTTAGTAATGGCGGGAGTTACAAATGTATAGCACAGGGAACTATAGGGTCTAGTATTGGTGAATCAAATAGTGTTCTTATTATATTCGCTCCTCACATTATACAAACACCATCAAATATACAAACTCGTGTAGCTCGTAAAATACAGTTCATATGTAATGCAACCGGTTATCCATTACCATCAATAGAGTGGAGAAGAATCAGTGTAGAGAATGATTTAACAACATTGCAAGATATAGACAATGTAACAGTAGACCTTCCTTATAATATCACCAATGACTCATCTATTAATATGAATGAAGTATCATCAGTACTAACACTCCAATCAGTAGATTATGATGACTTTGGATACTATGTTTGTATTGCTACTCTTACCTCAGATGATGTTTATGTTTTACTTAATAATTCTAATGTGACACTAATGGACTATCATGCTATATCATCTACTGCGACACTGACAGGTAATTAAGCATTTTAATGATTATTTATTTAATTATTTTTTAGTATCTCCTCTGGGAAGTGTACAAGTTAATCCTTCTTCTGTATTAGCATATTATGGTGAAACTGTTGTCCTTAATTGTACCAGTAGAGGTGGACCTAACAATCAGTATACATGGGATATAGAAAGTGGTGCTATTGTTATTGGCCGATCTGATCAACTTACATTGGAATTGAATAATCTTCGTCTTTTTAGTTACTATCAATGTCGAGTCAGCAATGATGCTGGTTCTGATCGTGTGTCCCATATAGAAGTTAGAGGTAAGAC